TCTAACAATAGATTAACGGGTTTTTTAACGCAACTAGGAAAATTATAGAATTATAGAATTGAGTTTTTTGTGTTGCTAATTCCAAAAAAAGTATACTCTTTAAGAATAGCTATTGCAAACTAGAAATCCTCATTGAAAAAATGCAAAGTGATTTTAAAAAACTGTTCGACAATTTTGTTCCTTAACTCATCAAGTATCTAACAGTTTCGTGCAATTCTCTCGATTTCGATGTCCGGTCATGAATTGCAGTAGAATTTTTTTTTCGAATTTGCAAAATTTCGAAATTAGAATGTTGTTTGCATCCCCATTTAAAGGTGGGCCTTTTCCGAGGCCTTTTCGTGGTAGGTATACAAAAATGATTGCAAAATCGGAAAGGACATACCCCAAAATCTATTGAAAGACGTGCAACTAGTCTTTGTAAGTCTTATGGTTCCTGAGTAAAAATTAAAGATGAAATGCAATTTTCACCACTTTTTGTGAATATCCCGCTCTAGTCCAACTGAGACGATCCATGTTAGTGGTTTATTGGCCGAACATGACTACGATTAGAGCCGCATCCTCCTTCTTGTCGGCCTTTCTATCGTAATCCAAAAATCACCCCTTTTGAGGATAGATACGAAATGTAACACGTTGGACTCTCGGTTAATTTGGAAAAAGTGCTTGTTGATCCTCTTTACCACACAATTTTTTTTACATACTTAAGGACTGTATAAAAACGCATATTTACAGGCATATTTATTGTGCCGAGAAAAAATTATAGAAGGAATTCACGCTTCCCACTTGTTTGACATTATTGTACTGCACTTAATAAAAGTGGCACAATCGTTATTCCAACATTTATATTTCTTATACACGTCCAACAAAAATAGCTGCTGGATTGTTCTAATTTTGTAATGTGTGTATTTTTTCCCCAGTTTCCTTTGGCGGTACGTTGGAAGAAAATAATACGCGGTTGAAACTGTTTTAATGTTAACTATTTAACCCCGTGACATATATATTCCGTGTGATTCATGAATGAATTCATTATGTTTCGTAACACGCGCATCCATTTAAGGAAACGCCAGGTGATGGATTCTTTTGAAAATCTCATCCACGCGCACCTGTTCTTATTTCGTACAAGTAGTGTAAGTATTTTCATTTGCACCGAGTTAATAGAAATTCAGAACATGCGAGAAATAAAGTAGGCTACTATATTATTTTTTTCTGAATAGGAACTTTTTTGATTTTTTGTGGCTGGTGTTGGATGGCGAGTCTGCTCAGAAGTATACCTATGTCTCAACTGAGAAGTGATGAGCGAAAATATCATTTTCAGGTTTTTTTGGTTTTAAGTTTATATTTCCTGAAATTTATTAGATGCACTTAGTTTTAGACTTGAATAAGGATTTGTTGAGCACTTTCGACAAAGAAAATTTCCATGGTTCCTTAAAAGCTCTCTTAGTAAAAATAAATCTTTGGTAAATACGCTACACAAGAGGTACGTACATCAGGTTATGTATCTACGTTATTTTAATAATAGAGAATGACCTACACACGTCTGCATTTTTTACATGTATGAATACACGTCCTACTTTTCATTTCTTGTAAACAAGCCATAAAAGTAAACATATACAAGATTTGGAATGTAATGGCGTCCGTTCTAATTAAGATTCGCCATTTTGCAATGATCCTTGCGAAAATATTTCGGTACCAATTTAGCGTAATTAGAACAGGGAGGATTGGCAAAATTGTTCTTTAAATATTACACAACTGGGTGAGCGTAACTGTAACGCACTTTCTTCAAACGGGAACCGCTTTCAAGAGCACATTGGTAACCTCGTTGGTATTACACAAAACTCTCTCCTCTGGTGTCCGTGCATATGTGGCTCAATCTCACGTTATCTCCTTAAACGGTGGCAATTATAGCATAAAATTGCTATAAATAACACGTTTTTGTGAGCAAAAGTAACACATTTACAAAGTAGGGTGCATTCCTTCAGCACGGTGGGGTGTTTTTGGACGTTTAGCTGCCGAGTGTGCGAAGCTCGCACCTATTTCCGTTGTACAACGTGTGGGTCGTGTGTTGTTTTCCCCTTCTTTTGATTTCGGCTCGGTCGGCTTCTGTTAATTTCCTGGTGCTCGATGCTGATCATCTTCGACCTCGCCACTCCCACATATGTCTTATATTTTACTTGTCTATTCATATCATCAATTATTAAACGTTTATGTAACTAAACGAGGTCTTAATTATATTCGCAGCAGCCTATCCTTTTCCTTTGATTTTAAATGCTGCATACTGATACATCTCGTAACCATTGTTTCACATTTTTTCCACACAGCTAACTTTTTAATTTTGCCACGCAGTTTTAATCAGTACAAATGCGCATTTTTAGAGCTTTGGAGGGAAGTTCTATATTTTCATGCCCAGAGCAGAAATAATAGTTCAACTTAGAAACAATAAACATTACAGATTGTAATTTATCTTTACATGCAACCCCTTGATTTAGTAAATACGGAAATGTTTGTTACATATCAAATTGACGATACTTTTTTTAAGATTCCATAGCACTAAGGGGATAAAAATCCAAAGGGACGAACGATCTAAAACAACATTTGCAACAACAATTATAATGTACCTTTCAAAAAAAAACAATAGGAACTTTAAATAAAAGCTACTTTTACATACCTATAATCTAGGGCGAGGTCTAGGGATTTATTAAAAGGAAACTGGATTTTATGTAGAAATCAAGCAGTTTTAACTTATTGTGGTGCCCAAACGGTTCCACCGATTAATAGATTGGTAGTTGTCAAAGACGTCTTTAAGTACGTATTTTGTATTTGATTGGTGAAAAAAGCAACGCAGGTACTATTTAATCTAATATCTATGTCATATTACTTATACACTAAACAATATAAATGAATGTGTTCGCTAGTTCGTGAATTGTAATTGTAACATACCGGGTGGCGTGTCGAAATCGAAGAGCTTATTTTCGAATAATTCAGTGAAGACGCTCGAAGGTGGCTCGTTTGCTCTAGGTTATCTCTTCATTCATTAAACGCTGGAGGGACCATTCTCCTAGAGACCTAGATTTTTAGGTACACACATCGCTGCAAGTACTTGAATGTTACAATGTTTGCTTGAACATGTAACCCTAATTTTTATGGCTTTCATCGTTTACTTTGTATAAAACATTTCACATTGACCAACCAGGTTCTTCGTTTATACCCATTGGAATCGTAAATATTTATCCTAAAATTAATATGGCGGAGCATTTTTTGGCAATTTACATTTAGTACAGTAAGTTTATAAGGCCAAACTGGCACAAAGGCAGCTCGTCTAAACATAAAGTTTCACAACTGTTTCATGTACAGGGTGACTAAATTTGGTCGTTAGTAACTCTTAGTGTTGTGAGGTGCGAATAATTCGAAGCGAATTTTGCAATATTTCCATTTTCCCGAAATATACGGGTCTATTAGCATTGCTAAGAACGAATGTTCGCACACTGGAAATTTTAGGCGAATAAATACTTCCCATAAATTCTTGAGTATTTTACGAAAACATTCTTCCAAAATCTCCAGTTTTAAACTAGTTTTTAATGGACCAACCCCGCGAGCTTTAATAAGCTTCAATCCTTAGGTTTTGAAGATCTGCATCATGGAATTTTCTGCATTTTCGTGAATGTTTTCGATGTTTAATGAAGTTTTTGAATTTGCGAATTTTTGAGCGAGTTTTCTTTAATTTGTCTAAATGTTTAGTTTTGGCCGAGGTTTTGGCTTGAAGGTACAGTATTTGTTATGGGATATGAACTGAATAGCAGAGTTTTTCTTTTTTATATAAATAAGCCGCTTTGGTTTTGCTCGAACTGGTCGTAATGAATGGAGAAATCCCTCACGACACTAATTTCGTCCAAATGGTGGCACAGTTTTTCCTTAAAATTCGGTATTTAGCTTCAACTTTCGCAATAAAATATAGAATTACGATTATGCGGGTGACGATTATTTGATATACTTCGCGTTGTCTCCAACCTTTAATTGAGAATGAATCTTTACGCGTGATGTTATGTTTCATTAAAGCTTTTTCTACATTTCTCGCGAAAGGGAGAAACACTATCTTTGCGATATTCGATTTGCTCAATGACTTTCTGCAAGGAAAATTTCGCCAATTTTCTCGTAATAAACTTTTATATACTATACAAAAGGAGCGCTCTAGAATTCATTAGAGAGTAATCGGCGAAGAAAATGCTAGAGCACTTCTTAAAAACAACTCGCAAAAGGATAACAATCTGCTATTAATAAACCATTACACATACAGAAGGAAAACCCCAGTGCTTATTTGGTTAACCAGTATCACTAGAAGTAAATGGTTGATAATATTGGTATCGACGACAAAAGCAATGTTACTTCCTTCTTATTCAAAAGCTAAGGAGCATCCCGAAGACCTTTTAAATATATGAAGTAAACTGAGAAACTGAGATTAATGCTAACAAAATTCATACAATACCAAATACACATCTCTTCATTAAACGTACAATATGCCGTCTGTTGAAATATTGTGCAAATTCCATTAGAAAATACCCTCTAACGGCTAAGGTTAAAATTAAAAAATTCTAACAAAAAGTTAATAACAATAAAATAATTACATCACCAAGCTGAAGTGATTCGTCGTACTTATTTAGTCAGAGTTTGAAAAATTCCAGAATTGATATCGAATTTGTCAGCCATGAATGAATAAGATTTAAAATATTTAGATTTATACTTTTTTAATATTTGAATATAAGCAAAATGCGATAATGTCCATCCTATATACTGTTTATGAAGGCCAGTTCTTTGTGACATTTCAAAAACACTTATATGACACAACCTTTTATAAATGTTAATTATCTGATTATAATGATTGCTCACTGATGGAATATATAATTTTAATAAATATTTTTAGTGTTCGTGACGATTAAATTATGCGTAGCACAAGTTATGCCCCGCACCCTACAGTCACGTTAAACACTCGAATTAGTCGAATATTGTATTAATTCGTGTTTCTCTTGTTACAGAAATTGCAAAAGTTCGAGCTAGTTTATTTCAAATAAATGGAGTCAAAAAGGAACCCCTAATATTACCAGAGCCAGATGGAACGGTCACGACACTTACAGAAAAAGTATATGTTCCAGTTAAGGAACATCCAGATGTAAGTATTCAAGTTTTGTGTAGAATCCGCATACTCAAAGCTTAAGAGTTGAAATACCTAGAATAAGTAATAAGTTGCGGTTTAAAAGTATTTCCCCTCCAACACCAAGTCAATTGCGTTACTTATTTGTCATATTTTTATGTCTCTACATTTGTACGTTTGTTTCAGTTTAATTTTGTTGGAAGAATATTGGGTCCAAGAGGAATGACAGCTAAACAATTAGAACAAGAAACGGGTTGTAAAATAATGGTACGGGGAAAGGGATCAATGAGGGATAAAAAGAAGGTAGGTAATATTTTCTGTTCTCGGTACCTTTTCTTTAATTTTCGATTAACATGACATACCAATTTTCACTGGCCAGACAATTTTTAGGGACAAATTTTTACTTCACCTTTTGGAGCGAAGTTAGTAAATATCTAATGTAATCATGGGTAAGTTGGTGCCCTGAAAAATTTGCTAGAGAAATTTATTGCTTGGAGTCAAAAGTCTCATATGAGTCAGACAAAGGAAATCGTTACTTGGTAGGAAGGTGAAATTTCTTTAACAATCAAGCATTACTTCAAAGTGACATCAATTTAGATCTACATGGGTATCTGGTGCGGCTGCGTTATCTTGAACTTGTGATGAACAGCGCATGACTTAGTTAATTTTTTTTATGGTTAATAGATTGGGTGATAATGTGTTTTAACGAATCCCGAATGACAACAGCAGAAAACAGCAGACATTCGGAATTCATGCCCATTGAAGTTGTGATGCTCAAACAATCAGGTCAACTCAGCATTTGCATTCTCTCGACTAGAAAAATATCAGACCTTGCATTTAAATGTAGCATAGATTATGTTTTTTTAAATCTATGAATGTAGTAGGAATCGTGTCCCAATCGCTGGTCAAGATTTTTTCGTCGTTTAAATTTTGTTCCAAAATGGACTTGAAGTAAAGATATTCATCATATAATATCTACAGTTCAAAATGTTATGGGAGATTCAATGATTTCAGAGTGAAAAAGTCACTGAACGTTATATACTCTTGATCTGTAGATATTAAAAAATGTTGATGACCACGTCACATCTGTTTCGAAACGTGTAATTTTCTAAGGGATAATAGCTCTCTTCAACGAAAAATGAAAAAATTCGGCTTTTTAAATGCTTGAAGATAAGGCGCTTTTTGCTGACTGACAGAATGCTCTTCATTTTTGTAATATATATTAAAATATTTAAAAGGTAAACCTTTTATCAATTTTTCCATCTTACATTGAATACATTAGTTCCTGAATTAGGTTAGGTCTACGTTTTCCTAAGTACAAAACCTACGTTTTTCCAAAATAACTTCCAGAATGTTTCATGAGCTACGTATCCAAAACTCCCAAAATGTGCGTTTCTTTAATTTTTTGCTCAGAAATACACATATCGAAGGCGGGAACCGAGGGGGTGTTTATTTCAACAAAAAATGTAGGTAGGCACATGTATTGCGGACATTTTATGGTTTCTTTACAATTACTGCGGTTTCTACGGTGACACATTTTTCTCATTATGTCTTCTGCAACTGTGAGCGGTTCCAAATTCTCTATTCCGGAGTAGATTTCTGGAGATTACGTAAGACTACTACGTAGATTCCCAGTGATTTCCTATGAATGCGGGAATTTTTTTATACGATAGTATCCACTCTATCCAAGAGGAATTAATATGTGATGCGATCTTCTTCTTGGAAAATTGGTCCATGTAAAGTTCTATTCTATTCAAAGAGCAGCCCAACAAGGCAAGCACTTGGGCATACCAAAGGCCGATTGTGCCTACCCCCGCAATTAGCTTCAGAGCATGTTCTCTCAATAAAGGATAGGACCCTGTTTAGCCTAAGTTGTTTCACCCTTCCCGGTTCCAGATATCTGTCGCCAAAGAGCTGATGTCTCTGAGACTATTTTCAATTTTTCAAAAAATTAAATCGCGTCTGTTCAATGTAGATTAGGGTAACTGTGATACAGTTACTTTACTATCAATCAAAATTTATCAATATTTACTCTCCAAATAAGATTTTCCCATACACGAGCACATTTTACTTATTTAGTTCCGCATCGCATTGCTAACCTCGTACGGTAATTACAATCATCAATCATCACATTTGTGTGTAGGGTCCAACATTTAAAATATACAGGATGTACGATTTACGAAATTTACTCTCACTTCACGTTTATATACTGTTAATAACAGTATTCATTTTTTCTCTCAAAGTTTTATATTCAGAGTCAAGTCTGCTAAAGTTACAGGGGTAAGTCTAATTTGGGATGCACTTATAGGGTGTTTATGAAGCTAGGTCTGTTATTATATGTAGGTATATGAAAAATGTCTTGATTTCGGAAAATTTGTAAATAAGGGTTATTTAAATTACTCTTTGCTGTTAAAATATTTTAGTTTGCTACCTCACGTCATTAAGTTTATAAAATTAATTTAAGTATAGTCTCATTTGCGACACTTTAGTAAGTAGTTAATAAGTAATATAGGGCGTCATGCGTCATTTAAGAGGTACAGGAGAAAATCAAAAACTATCAATTTCAGAATGACCCTATGTTTTGTTGGTTAAGAGAGGGACAGAAAAATGTTTTATACAAAAGTTTCTGTATAATGATTGTTATTAATATACCGTTTTCAGAATAAGTAAACGGGGTTCGGTAAAAAGTTATCCGACCTAACCTCATTTTTTTTTAATGGACACTGTAGATTTTAATTTGAGAAGATAGTGTAAGATTTTCTTTTTTTTTTAAACTTTTTGTGTTCTGAAATCGGCAGATTATTCGACAATGGTTATAAAGAAAGTTTGACCATTTTCTCCTTTATCTGTTAAGTGAGTGAAAGGTTTCATTTTTTATTTTGCCATTTGAAGTTTGAACTAAAAAGAGCACATGACGTTTACATTACTTTTTTCAGTGTTTCAGTGAAAACATTAAGAAAAATGATGACAACCACAACCCGCAAGGCCACTTGGTTTCGGAAATAGGGAATTTAATTGGCTTCAAACTGAAACCAGGAAAATTACTATTCTCCCTTCTATTACTAATTTCAGTTCTGTGAAAAGTTTACATTATCTCTTAGATTCTTACTGTACTTCATTTATTCAATATTTAATCTCGTCAAAAACAACTTATGCCTTTAGGAACTGTTCAGGCAATATTATAAGTTAGTTACTCGAAAATCTGAATCCTTCTTAGGATTAGGCGAGGGATTAGGTTTAGGCTCGGGTTTAGGTTAAAATATTCGAAAGAAAAGGGCTCTGTGCATTGAATGAATTCAACAAGTTCATGTAGGTGTCATTTACACTAATCGTTTACTTTATTTTTAGCGCATTTTTTTAAGAATAAAAAATTTTTTATGATTGGTTGGGTTTTGTCCGTCCGTCCGGACCCATTTCTGCGGTTTTGAACTACTATACCGTCCTGTAAATCGCACGTAACTCACATTGATCATTTACGGGGTTGGCTTACCCTCAAATCTCCTCGACGCCCCCTTTGCAATGCTCGAGAATGTGCTGTAAACGTAGCAGTATATGGTTGTCGCTTCAGCGTCAAAATTTTTAACCTGCTCGGGCAGGTCGCGCTTGACAAGAGAAAACTGGAAGAAGAGGTTACAGATAGGTTTGTAAACTAGGTGCTGCTTACTTCAGATTTGAGGTTTCCTCTAGCTTGTCGTAGGCGTGGTCTTTGCTAGAAGCATCCGTCAACAACACCCACGGTGTCAAAATCTTCAGCTGAAGAACTTTACTTGCACGAGCTGGAAAAATCTCACCTTGACTCGTCAATTACACGGAATACTTACGCCGTTTTTAACCGAACCGAATGTGAAAAAGTGCTGCTATCTTACTCTCAAACCGTTGCCAAATTTGAATTCGTTTAGCGCTTTTTCCACGCCAAAACTGTCGTCTCATAAGAGTGGAAGGTTATTAGTAGTAGAATGGGTTCACTTTATCACCACTTCTTTTTATCTCATTTGCATTTTACCCCATTCTTTTTTTTTGCGTTTTAATTCGCGGGATCAATCAAAGTCAATTAAATTGATTTGTGGTTTTCGCGCTTTATAAGTCCCTCATCTAAAGCGCGACTCAAATTAAATCTCGAATTAAAAGGAGTGCAGATGAGCGAAGGGATAAAAAAGAAGGGGGGGTAAGTAAAACGAATGCCTACTGATAATACCATTTTGTTTGGTTTCTTATCACCTGCCTGGTATCAGATTGAAGCTACTTACATTTTCTTCAAATGTTTCTACAAAGATCTTTATTGGAAAGCAAGCATTTAGCCAGTGTACAAATACAAAATACTCTAGGAGTATTTTGGCATTTTGCAAAACGTTAACGGACGGAATTAATGCAGATTAATAAGTATCTGGTATTTGTCTTTCCAAAAATGTTTATTGTAGTCTTTTTTCTTTCGCTTACATTAATGTTTCAGCCATATAATTCTCATGTCCAGTTAAATGGAAGCGTGGCCATGAAAATTATATGGTCGCACCGAGGGCCGCACATATGAGTAAGCGAAAGAAAAAAGATTTTATAATAAACATTGGGAAAGACAAATACCAGATAAGTTATTAATTATTTATCCCAAATAAAAGAAGAATAACACTACATTAACGCAGATTCGTTGCATTTTTTACTGAAAGTGCGTTATAGAATGTTGACTAACTGTTACTAGCAAGTAATTTTTTTTTACAAAAATGTTTCATGCATACGTGGAAATCAGATCTTGAGTCTTTGTTTGGTAATCAAATAAATATCAGTATGTGTGCCTAAAGGTGCTGGTGCACATGTAATTGGGTTTTGGCAAGCGATGCAGTAGATAGATAAATATGGTGCGGGTAATAAACACTAAACAGTAAAGTGTTTATTAACCGTTGATCGATTGTGCCAAAGTTATGAAGAGCATGACCACTTCGTCACAAAAGTATATACTGCGTAGAAGCATGAAATATAAATTTGGATATCAAAAACATGGTAAATTGCGCAATAGGGGAAAGTTTCTGCATTACAACAACATCAATTTCAGTGAAATGTTAATGTAATTTATAAGGAGTGATCATTGACATGTTAACTATAACAATAATTAATACGGCTTCTTCTCAAAAATCTCTTTTGTAAACTAAGAATATCGAACATTTAACACAATGAGAATGAAACCAGCAATTTAACCTTTGTAATGAGCGATGAAGTAATACCATTTAAATTCTTAACAGACCGATTTGTTCCAACTATTAATCTTTTGTCAAGATGTAATCAATGTATCATTTTGACTAGTTTGTGTAACACCTCCTTATAATCGTTCAATAGTTTTATGCATGCTTTATTAATATGACCGATAGCGACAAGAAACAAATGTGAGGGATAATCTGAGTAATTCCGTCAATTTAAGTAATGTTCTAAAAACGCTCCTTTCTATTTCACTGGATAGACACATTGGCTTCGTTCCAACATGTTCTATTTTTCCCTTCATTAATGTGATATGAGAATGGTTTCAAATAAAAAAAGAAGTAAAAGTAAAGCCAAGTCTGGCAGTATTAAAAATACAATAGATTTATTACACTTATTCTGTTTTCTTCCACGCTTTTAACCAATCCCTTGGCATTCTTGTAAGTACCACACAATTTATTATGCACAATCTGAACTGCTGTATTTTTTTATAGGAAGATCAAAACAGAGGAAAACCAAATTGGGAACATCTCTCAGATGAGTTGCACGTTCTTCTTACAGTTGAAGATACAGAGAATCGGGCGCAAATCAAATTGGCGCGAGCGGTCGAGGAAGTTAAAAAATTACTTGTACCAGTAAGTATAATGAGTTTTAATTGGTCACTTATTTAACACGCGCTGCCCACACTAGATAGGAGAATATGCATCACTTGAAAGAGGCTAAACCAGTAGAATTCAATTGAAATGTACTCTGTTTAATTAAATTTCAAATTCTGAAATAGTTACTTGCAAGTGTTTATATTTAATGCCATGTTTAATGTCAAGGAATTAGCAAACATGATGTGAGTCGTTTCAGCACTTGCTCGTTTGTAATGGCTTCTCCATTGAAAGTTGTTAGTCTCGCTTAGTGCATTTTCTTTTGCTTCTTTGTTTCTGTTGCAAGACGTGTACTAACCCAGATAAACCATTCACCAAACCATATAGACTTGTGCATTAAGTCACAAGGTAGCATAGATATTGACGTATTTTTTTAATGAAACATAGTTTCAACTTACCCAATTCCAAGGTAGACCAAATCAGTGAATTAGATTACTTTTTGAAATACGTTTGTAAGTAGTTAGCCCTTTTCGCGGCGTTTTCGAAATACAGGCTACTTTAGATTATTTTTTGGTTTAAAATGTGTGGTTTTGGCGTACGCTTTCGTCTCTTTCTGGTGGGCCCTGTTAGGTAACTTTAATTGGTCAAACAATGGTAATTATTTCACAGGTATATCTACGCCATGAATGGTTTAAATGAGGTGTGTAGCCGTACTTGCTGAAGAGCTACCGTGAAACGGAAGTACACCTGAACTCCAGATCTGATCGGACCATCAGTAAAGTTTATAGCTCAAGAACGGAGAAGCGTTGGACGTTGTAGCTTTTGAAGTACCTACGAAGAGGCCATGGTGCAACCCAAAGAAATTTCCGACGGAACTCCTTGACTTTTATCACCTTCTACGTTACAGACGGTGACGAATTTGTATCTTATCACGACGACTTTTTCAAAGCCTCAAAAAGTTCCTTCCCGACTGTGAATCGCGGTCTCCTCGGTCTCGTCTACCTACCGTCAATTTTCTAAAAAATCTCATGTTAATGTTCGTTCGTTAAGCTCCGTATTATCACCGTATCTAGTTAAAACGTTAATATTCATGGTCGCACTTTTGTGTCACTTTTTCCCCTTTCGCTTTGGACGTGTACAGATCTTGTAGTTTCAATTTTCCTTACAAAGTACGTTACAGATTCAGATAAAATGAATTCTTCGTATTTCTATTCCGAGGTTCGATTTATTTGGAAAAATGCATCGCATCGTCCTCGTACGTGCTACAAAAGCGAAAAGAGCAAACTTTGCAGCAGGTTTTCATCTTGTGCGTTGTTCTGTATTCTGTAACCACAGTCGTTGATAAGATACAAATTCCCAAAATCAATTTCACCTTGAACATCGTGCGAAAGAAAATTTTACTGCGCGTCCTGCCCGGGTGCTCCAACTACCCTTCACATCTCGTTGGAAAGAACAAACTCTCGCATACTTTTAGCTGTCGTGATTCTAATGCCAGCTTCCTCCCCCATACAATGTGAATCAATGGGCGGTCAAATTCGTTGTTCGACTGTTCGAAACGTGTGGCGGTTCAGAACTTGTACAAACTGTAAAAGTGTTATTTCACCCCTGAAAGGACTATTCTAGTTTGGATCACTTTCGCGACTTCGGCACTATCACTTCATACGAACAGGGTTTCTGGAGCAACACGGAAAATTCTTTCCCTTAAAAGGTCTCATTACTTGCGAAAATTTGGCGTGCCAAAAAGTTTCGACTGGAACGCACCTTCGTACTCCTGGAAATCAAGAGCGTTGATCACATGCTGCGGTCTCCTGCTATCTACGTAGATGGGGTGCCATTTCTCTTACTGTTCAGTAGTTTTTTGATTAATTTTTTTATGCGAAAAGGATTGCTCTGTCTTAAATCCCGAACTACGTCGAGATTCTAGCCTGGGTTCGAATTTGACTTGTTGGCTTTTGTAGGAGTAATCTGGGAGATTATTTTGAGTAAAGGTATGAAAATTGGCACATATGCTCTTTGAGTTCCGACGTGGTGCGACGCTCATTTGCCCCTGGAACCTTCGTTAGGGGGAGTTACATACACAAATGATTGCTAATGATTGGATCATTTTCTTCGACTCTTATTAAGCTCCATGGTTGTGAAAACACGTTTAGAATATTTGGAGTCCACCGCTGGGAAACGGGTAATCTCATATGATTAGAGATTGCCTACCCATTAAGGCGCTAATGAACCGTTTTCTATTTTCATTTGATTTTCTTAAGCACTCAGGGGTATAATCTGAGCCCTTTTAGTGTGGCGTGCCTACCCCTATAGGTACTGCTAAACAGCTCCGTCACTTACGATTTATATGACATGCCTCTATCCACGGGGGGGGGGGGGGTGATTAACCTCGTGAGATATTAATCCTCGACTCGACTCCACTTCCACCTCCGTTGCAATATCTTTAGGAGGGGATTAGGTAATTACTTACGGTTTGTTGTATAAACGCAGTCCATCGCAGTTGCGCAGTTGTAAAGGTGTGAACACGGGAGTAGTATAGTAAGGTCTAACAGGTCTGTTCATCAGAAACAGATAAATGATCATCAGAAACAGGACTGTACATTAGACACAGGTCTGTTTCTGATGAACAGACCTGTTAGTTTAAACAACAATCATGATGACCTTCAATGACTTGGTACATGCGCAGTAGTTCAACCTTGGAATTAGCGCAGGCACAGAACTCAAGGTCAAAGTGAACTCATATCGGCCTTACCACGGGATGTTGTGCTTCAGGCATTTACATCGTGTTTCGTTGCATCCCTTTTTGCATCCACATTTCATTTTGAGTTTTCAGTTCCATGCACTCGTGTGGTGGGAGTTTTTGGCGTCGGTCGTCGGCGTCACCTATGTTGCCCCTGATAAAATGCATCAGACAAGTGTAGCAACATGAGCATGTCGTCCTCTACGTGGTTAGATGGACTTAAGGAGGTCACTTCAGGTTCTATGCTTGATAAGACGTGAGGACTACATGTAGTGATCAGTTGAACGCTATCCTAGGGCCGTTGTACTAACAATTGAGCGAGCAATCTGGACAAATCTTTCTTATTGCCACTATCCCGTTAAAAATTTGGCCAACTTTTTGGCAGCGTCGTCTCAAGGGAATCTTTTAGGTGGACACATCACCCTCGTTTATCGTCAGTGCGGTTCTTCAGGATATCGAGAAGATACCTGTCCCAGATGCTGTCAATGCGCTGTATATCACTAGTGCATTCTTTGGGAATAAACGGGCCGAATGGGCGCTCTGCATAGCCGTTGGAAGTTTTAGAGCTAGGCTTACAAAGAAGGAATTTGATCACAGTTTTATATATGTTACAACAAACCCTAATTACCTAATTACCAGTCATTAGCAATCAACATTTGTGTAGCGAACTTTCCCTAACGGAGGTTCCAGGAGGAAGGGTCAAAGAGCATATGTACCAATTGTCATAGATTTACTCAAAAGTGCAAACTTCATCTCATTTTAGGCCCTAAGCACCCAGACTATAGGGTGGATTATGAATAGTGGTTTCCTTAAAATGAATTAATTGATTATACGTCGTTTAGTACATGCACAGTCGCCGGTAGTCGCCCACTGCAAAACTTATGTTTTTTTCTTCGCATGGGGTATATAGAGATGAAAATTTAATAGCATAATTTGTGTACAACTCACAGGTGATCGGTTTTGCAGTGAGCGGCTATATCCGATGATTGACGTGGTTGTTTTTATACTAGAAGACGTCTAGTCAATTTATTTTTTAAAATTTAATTGAATTTAATTTCAATTTGTCTCAAATTTTATATTCTCGTCAATCTTGGGAAAGAATTTTATGTATTTATTTGGCCACCCAGTATAATAAGTATGGTAATTTTAACAACAATTAGGTAGATGACGAACTACTAAAGAAAACTGGCTTCTCATTATTTAATTAAACGAGCTGAAGAGGAGTTTCTCCTTGCAAGGATAAAAATTCCTCACATATCTCAATATCCTAATAACGTACTTCCCCAAAAATAAGTAGCTTCACTCTTTTTATGTAAATGATTCAGGATTTGCATGTTTTCTATGGAGAACTGCAATGTTTCTGTGATTTTTAAGTGTCTGGCGCATTAAATGAAAAGGATCTATCAATTAGTTTATGAACACTTTCTGATAATTTCAAGAAGTATAAGTCGATTACATTTATATTCACTTTTCAGTAAGGCTTAAGGCAACAAGCAGGGTGTAAATTGAGAAATTAATGTAAGTCTTCTAGTATTGCAACATGCTTTGTTTTTCATTTATTAATAAATTTGCCCTGTTCTTATTAATTGTTTAATTTTAACAAAATTTGATATTTAATTAATAAAATCCAGCCTTGCATTAGAACATTATTTTCTAATTTAAGTATCTCCTTTTAATATTAATAAATTAAGAATAAAAATCGTCGTGACTAGTTGCTAATATCTACTTATAAAAATATTGTATTAGGATTTCAAGAAACTAAATTCCTAATACATGAGTATTTAAAACACTAACCAAAGCCTCTATTCTACGATGAAATTTTAAATGATAAGTTCTAACATTCATTAAACATTTTGGGACAGCAATTAATCTTGTGAAATCCTTGCAGCAAGCTGATGGGGAAGATGAACTCAAAAAAAGGCAGTTAATGGAGCTTGCCATTATAAATGGTACATACAGAGATTCTACTTCAAAAGCAGCTTCGGCTGCAGGTTAGTAATTGCAGATTTAGTGAATGTCTGAGCCTACCATTCGCGCATTGTTTACAGTATGTGATGAGGAGTGGAGGCGCGTAGCGGTTGCAGCGGCAGCCGAAACTCAGCGATTGTTATCACCAGCGATTCCCGGATTGGCGACACCTCTCCGCACTCCAGCAACACCTTTGGGGGCGCCTCTAATTTTGTCACCACGCATGTCGGTGCCTACGACGGCGGCGTCAATCCTTAATGGATCTGCACCCCCCGGCTCGCTTTTGTCACCGGGAGACACTCACGGTCTCATATACACACCGTACACAGATTATACCAACTACGCTGCCCTTGCCGCATCGCCACTTCTGACGGAATACGCAGCAGCAGATCATTCTGGTGGGTTGTTTGCTCGCTGACTATATTATGGGTGAATTAGGTTTAAGTAGTTAGAAATCATCAGTAGCGTTTAGTAGTTTGTTTCTCATACGAGATTGTCCACAAAAAGATTTTATATTTATCTTAGAAAGTTATGCAAACATTGTACATAGTGTTACAAAAATCTTGTAAAGATTTGGTGGGGTGAGGGGTGGGGGGGGCGAAAAGAGTTTGCATAACTTGCTAAATTTTATAATTGTACAGGTTTAGTCAGAATTTAAATAATTATTGCATTTTCTGTGATACATGACTGCAACTGCATGTTGCATGTACGTATTTGTAGTAAGTATAAATATGTTGGAACGTTTATTATTTTTTAATGTTGCAAGTCAGAATTTCTTTTTATAGTAATAGGTGTATTATTATAAATTTATTTATGTTGATTCTTGTGTGTCTAACATACTTGCGATCAACAATAGTCATTGTTTTTATTGGGTAAAACATCACGATTTTATACTTTTTTTTAATTTTATATATACATAAAATGATTTAATTATAAGATTATTTGTGAAAAATCAGTTACATGCATTTATAAAATGTATTACGTTACCACAAAAATTATTTTGTGTTAGTCACAGCTTTAATTTTATTACAAATATGACAGCTTTATGAGAAAAAATATAACGAATAGGTTAGTGCAATAGTAATCAACTTGTCTCCAGTTCATAAAGGTTTGATTGTTATTGCTAAATAGAATTCATGTGTTTAAAGTTTTCACGTATGTTAAACTTGAAAGCACAACATTCGTGAAGACTTTTTGCATATTTTTCCATATACGTGGTGAGACTGCTTTGTATTATACGTATGCTTTAACTGGCACTCTGCATAGGTGCGGCTGCCGTTGCTGCCAAACAACGTAGACATTTGGGGCAGATCAGGGAACACCCCTACCAAAGAGCTGGCGCTCTGTCTTAAATAGGCAAGGTTAGTTTATATCACTTATTTATTGTTTCAGGTGTGTGGCCGCAGTGTATGTGTCATTTTCGTGTGGTTTATTATGTTTGTGTCCTTTAAAAGTACTTTTCATTAACACGCTTTTGATATTTTTCCAAAAGGATTATTACTCTCAAATGAAAAGTACCAACATTTTCAGTTGTTTGCCATTTTTTAAGTATTTATAGATGTATTCATATAAATATAGTGATTAGCCGTAGATGTCCATATTTAAGCCATTTCTTCAGTATTTAATATTTTAATTATGCGGGTTGTGACACAATAAGCTATAAAAGTTACAGATATTATTATAGCTCTCTCAGAAGGAAAGAAGGATTTTATTTTGAGTGTTACCAAGTATTTTTCATAAATATTGAGACATTATTTTAGTTCGTACCATTGAATAAAAATAAATAGAAATTCAAACTGAAATTTTCTTCGTTTAAAGTTCAACGAAATTATATTATCTGTTTCTATGTGATTGAAAAAGAATGCCACTTATTTGGTCTCAGAATCATGGCGTGCTCCAAAATCGTATTTTTTTCAGAGAGCGGTTGTGATTAGGGTTCACATTTTTGAGTACCAAATAACACTAACGCCTTCAGTACTCTCCAGTGTCTAGGCAAAGCAATAGGGTACAAAACATTAATTAATTGTACCCGAGATCTTACAATGTTTCATTAGGGTGGGACATTTGTCACAAGGGTTAGATGTAGTAATTAAATATGCAAGATAATAGATAAATGAATGAATTTTGCAGTTATCTACTTATTTAATTTGGACTTCTATTTTTTTTTTATTCATTGTGTAGAGAATCGGATAATATATGATAATTATAATACTCATCGTATTTTATACATACCGAAACAAAACTTTAATGAGTGGTTTTGCCTTTAATTGTTTTTATACTTCTAATAAACTAGAAGTTTCAAAAGGTAACAGTAATTGGATGAACTTCACATATGCAAAAGATATGTTTTACACATGGGCATGTTCACATTTTTTCATGTTTGCAAAAACTATTCATATTAATACTGAAAATAGCAATGCAAGTTTTGATATAACGAAGATCAACACAAAAACTGTTGTTCTTTGTTAATTGATCTCAGTTTCATCATAAAGTATATGGTTTGACATCGTAATTAGTAGGTTAATGTCTTAATATTTACACGAGTTGTGCTGTCCTAGTCGGAAATTGTGTATCACTGGTGCTTATATATTGTATTGTTTGGTATTTATATATTTTATCGCGTTACGTTAATTTTTTTGTTCATAATTCACCTCACAAAGATACAGATGTGATATTTTCGATGCGTCTAATTTATTTTTAATTTTCCTTCTTTCCTTATTTAGTATGTCGTAAAACATATGGTCTATTGCTAATTTCTTATAAATGTCATATATTTAATATATTTATATATTAGCGGTATTTTACTTTGCCAGTGTCCGAGACAGGTAAATATTTCATTTTGGCAAAGTTAGTTGTATTAATTATGTTGTAGTTATATGTCCATATAGCATTATATTTTTTGTATGTTGTTGACTTGCGCCAATGTGGAACAAAAATATATTTATATAAAAACCAATATTTCCGTTTTTGATTGAATATTACCTTATTCATTTATTTGATAGGATAAAGATTTAGAAAATAGATTAACTGCATTAATATATATTAACATATTCTACACTGTATGTTTTCGTAACTACTTCTAATTCCACATGGCCAAGTTCACTAATGTATGAATGGTAACTCGATTGTGTTCATAGCACTATATTAAAACTGCAAACGCTTTAACATTACACATCTTTTTACATCACAACTTAACACTCGAAATTACAGTACAAATAGCTTTTGATTTTGTCACACTTATTAACGCACTTCTTCTGTATAGCACAATTCAAATGGTTGTTTAAACATATCTTCGCTAATAGCACGCACGCATTTTAATGTAGTGTACTGAACACTTTTTCTGATGCAAGGTGTACGAGTGTACACTTTCATTATGATGATTTATTAATCTTTATGTACGAACAATTTTGCTTTACTAAATATTTCAGTGTCATTTATAATATCTGCATTATTAGCTGTGCATGGCTACTAGCTTTTCATGCATCGGAAATACATGCAGTGATAAGCATCGAATGACACTGAGATAACCTTTATAATATATGCAAGAGGTACAGCTAAGATACAATACTAACAATCTGTTTTCTTTTCTTTTCTTGTTAACTCGGTTGCCCGGCCTGTAGGCTTGGAGTGCTAACCCGTCACCTACGCCACTCCACTAACCGGACGCCGGACCACCTGCGGTAGCGGTACGTCTAACCTCACATCACTAACTCTCTCACCGTCATCAATGCAACGTATACTCTGGGAACAATAATACTGGATCATTACAAATATCATCCAGCAGTAGAACTTCCTAAGTATGCGATGTCTTAATTGCATATTTTATTATGCATAGCTTAACGTAAAAAGTCTAAAATACTAATATTATTAATAGTAATTACTAGTTATTAATCGTGAAGTACAAATTGATTGACAAGTGCCAACAATGTTATACGTTTAAAATTCTTTAGTTTTTCGATTAATTACTTGAGAAATTCTCTAGGCGAAATTAGAACTATTAAAAGCTTTGGTACTTAAGCCATAAATATTACAATAGTGATGTATAATTAAAAATAAAAAAAAACAATAAAAATTAAGGTAGGTGTAATAAATATTATATTATTAAGTGTTTAAATGCTTAAATATTTATATCAGTGTCATATAATTAATAATTCTGTTTGCACATGCTTTATTGTTGAAACTTTATTACAAATGATATTATTAGTTTTATTAGGCATAATTTTTAAACGCAACATTTTGATCGCCTCAATATAATTGAGAATAAATGGTTCAGAGATTTTTGAAAAATCAGATTGAGATTCGTTTTGTATTATCGCTTAGGGTCTCTAAAAAGCAATAACATCTCTGAATTTGAGATTATGTTAAATTTTGCAATAATTAAAGTTTGCACAATATTAATTTGTAGCATATTTGTAGCGGATTAAAATCTTAATTTGGCCATCCGTCCATCTGTTTAACTCAAAATATGTGTAATGTGAATACTCATATTTTAGGATAATTTTAAATGAATATTGTGACAAAATCTCACTATGTATAAAAGATAAAGTGCAATAAATTTGTTGAAATATACGAACAATTAGTGTGACTGATTGAACATCCGACAGTCTGTATTAAAATATGTGCAATTTGTGTCAGTTACATTTTTTTTAAACCTTTAATATGGAAATTTTATTGGGCAAAGTATTTTATTTCTTATGTACTTAGAATTATGATGGTTAAATTTAACATTAAAGTGGCTGCACAACCCAATAAAGTTACTGTAATTTTGTGGTAATGGGTATCTTATATGTATTTAACTTCTATCGTAGACACTAAACAATTACTGTTATCATTAGTGTTATAACTAATCCCCGGCTTGATGCATCAACATTATTAATTATTTTCGGAAAATGTACTTAGTAATCCAGATTTGGTCAATTTTGTAACTAAATTCACGGCTTAGTTATATCAAAATAAAATAAGCATTAACTTTAATGGTAGCTTCTATTTGTTTCTTAATGTTAGAGGTTAGTTAGGCATATTGTGTCATATTAATATATATGTACATTATAACATTGATAATATTTGCCTAGATCGAGAATTAATAGAATTATGATTATGGTTTCGTGTTTTACTAAACACATTATAATTAATAAATATAATTAACAAAAGTAACTTAGTTCTTCCATGGCTTTTTAACTAATTATCCCTTTTCACGCTTTGAATATGTTTTTAGCATGTGCGCTTTCATGCCAAGATATGGGCAGTATTAATATATTTTTAATTTAATTAAATCATTGTTAGAAATATACTAACACAATTAACTAATGCACTATATTAGGATGCTGTTACGTTCATTACAGTCTCCCAATCATAAGGTTCGTAACATCGCAATTGTAGATGGTGAGGAATGTGTAATGTCGTCCTCTGTATGAGGTAATTAATACGTGAATCAACAGAATGAGTTAGTGGAGAAGCGACTGGGTCATGTTTGGTAAGTGCTTTGCAGGGTACAAATTTTGAACCTCTAAACATAGGCTTAGAGGCCTACTCCATGCTTTTACTGAAATTTTAACATTCACTACTTTACAGGAGTAACTGTAAATCTTCAATTGTACTGGCTGCATATAAGTCATTAAATATTGGATTTAAATCTCCAATAGCGATTCGAAACCTCAAATGTGGACAGTCGAAGAATAAAAGTCTCCAGCTTTCAGCTTAGTAAGAGTCGGAATATGGAATCCCAATAATTTTGTTCCTCTTTTTATGTCAAAATAAAATATAATAGCATCAAGCAAAAAACCTATGTAGATTACTATATGCTGTTTGTTATTGGCCTTTGATATTTCAAAATTTTCAAGGAATATGTTCACGATTTGGTTTCTTGTATAGTGATTAGAATCTGCAGTGTAAATTGTTTAAAAAATGTTGCAAATCCTTTTCTCTTAAGGGTGTTTGGTTCCACAGGTCTGTTAAATGTAGGTACCAGGTGTAGCGAAGCGTATCTTATCTGATAGGTATCAGTTGAAGAGATACAAAACCCAATAGCAGCAGCAGTCGCTAGAAGGATGACCCTATGAGTTTCGGAGGGATTTAGTTCCAAGATGACCGATTGGTGAGCATGTGAGGGAACACGGCAGAAACCACCTCTTCTCAGCATTCTTTTTTCACCAAAATGGGAGTCGTCAAAATATATGAAATTCTATAAGAACTTTAGATCATAAGCATAAATAGAGGGCATGTACAATAAATTATAAAAACAAGTAAATGGCATTTTAATTTCTTCGAAATAACGAATACGTCTATAGGTACATAAGTACAACTTTTGGAACAACATTGAAATGCGTCGTGCGTCGTTGATGAACATCTATCGGTGATAAAGATTATACCCTCCAAGCATAAGAGGAACGGTTATTTTTCAAGGTTTTGATACGAAATAAATTAATTGGTGCAATTGGGCGGTCACAATATTTAAAAAATAGTGATGTGTACATTACATTACACCTAGCTTTGATATTGTAGAAATTTATGTTTAAAAAAATTACCTATACTTTCAGTATTACAGAAAATAAATTTTCACTTTTGCGGTGAAAACCCGTGGAACTACTATTTCATTCCATAATGCCCTGTATAGTAAACAGCGTACACAAATAATTCACTCTATGTATAAAGTGTAGGGTATTTCGAGTCATAAAGTTGTAGTACTGCAATTTCTCTCATTCTGTAAATTATAACCTATTTGTTATTCCTTTCAAACTTTCCACACGTGTTTGTGTAATTCTTGTGTTATTTAACAATGTCCATTCAGGACAAAGTGCTTCTTCGCAAAATTAAGAAAAGGGAGAAACAGAAGCTCAAATTTTTACAGCTTAAAGAATCGGAGAAGAAAAGTAAAGGTAGTATTTATTCACCATTTTTCAATGTGTGCAACCTTGAATTCTCTTAGAAGAAGCAAGTGTGGAAGACACGATTTCAGACTTAAAACCACATTCCGAAAAAAGAAAGCTAAACGAAGAAGCAGGACCACGTCAAAGTAATTTAACGTTAAATTTAATTTGTATAATTTAAGAGTCTCTTTTAGAGAAACGCAAGAGCAAAAAGGCAGATTTAATTGACAAAAATGACAGTGATGAAGTTGAAAATGAAAGTGGCGGAGAATCTGCCGATACTGAAAACGAGGACCACCCTAAAGAATCATGTAATTCTAATATAATTCAAGATCTTTTATTTAAGTGATGACATAAAGGCGAATATTATTAATACTCCTCATTTGAGTTGAGAATTAAAAATGATTTGAAATTATTTTTCTGAAGAACTTAGCCATATTCTTTAGTTTATGTAATTTCTTTAAGTTAACTTTGTATTTTTAGTGCCTGGTTCTGACGCGACATTAGAAATCTTAAGTAATCGTACCTTTGACTCACTGATTGATAAGGTATGCGAACCAACCCTCAAGGGAATTACAGATATGGGATTCACAACATTAACCGAAATACAAGCAAGAGCAATTCCTCCACTGTTAGAAGGGCATGATTTGGTAGGAGCTGCAAAGACGGGCTCGGGTAAAACGCTCGCCTTTCTTATTCCCGCTGTTGAACTAATTTACAAGTTGAAATTCATGCCAAGGAACGGTAAGTTTGATAAATTTGACCGCCTGTAGTTGACTGTCTTGTAGGTACGGGCGTGATGATTATCTCGCCAACACGCGAGTTATCGATGCAAACGTTTGGTGTTTTGAAGGAACTGATGAAGCATCATCATCACACTTATGGCCTTGTGATGGGCGGGGCAAGTCGTCAAACAGAAGCTCAAAAGCTTTCCAAAGGTTTTCTGTGCATTTCGGTGACTTAATTCTAACACCTTGCGCTTTTAGGAATTAACATTTTGGTTGCTACACCTGGACGTTTACTAGATCATTTGCAAAACACCCCTGACTTTTTGTATAAAAATTTGCAATGCTTGATTATTGATGAAGCTGATAGGATTTTGGAAGTCGGCTTTGAAGAAGAAATGAAGCAGTTAATTAATCTATTACCAAGTAACTATAATGCGCAATGAACAAAGTGGTCCCATCAAAGAGTGCCCTTTAAACAAGGGTTTCTACACTAAAACGTGCATGAATTCCTTGAATAGGGTGCCTGCAGTCTTACTTGTTAATATTTGCATTTTTGCAGAACGAAGACAAACTATGCTATTCAGTGCCACCCAAAATCAGAAAACAGAAGCCCTAACGAAGTTGGCCCTTAAAAAAGAACCAATTTATGTTGGAGTGGATGACGGTAAAGAAGTTGCAACAGTATCGGGCTTGGAACAAGGGTACATTGTGTGCCCTTCCGAAAAAAGATTGCTCGTTCTATTTACATTTCTCAAAAAGAATCGCAAGAAAAAGGTGATGGTGTTCTTCAGCTCGTGTATGAGTGTAAAATTTCATCACGAGCTGTTTAACTACATTGATCTGCCTGTTATGTGCATTCATGTAAGTTTTTAACCACCTCTTCCAGTGTTAATTGAAAAGTTTCCAGGGAAAGCAAAAGCAAATGAAGCGTACAACAACCTTTTTCCAATTTTGCAATGCGGAAACTGGCATACTTCTATGTACAGATGTTGCAGCTAGGGGTTTGGATATACCTGCAGTCGATTGGATTGTTCAGTATGATCCTCCCGATGATCCCAAGGAGTACATTCACAGAGTTGGAAGAACAGCAAGAGGGGAAGGCAGTAGTGGCCATGCTTTGCTATTACTTCGTCCGGAAGAATTAGGGTTTTTAAGGTATTTGAAACAAGCTAAGGTGCCCCTTAACGAGTTTGAATTTTCTTGGAGTAAAATTGCAGATATACAATTGCAAGTGAGTTAGTTTAAAATGCAATTTCCTCAGTGATTCTTTGTTTTTTTACAGTTAGAAAAATTAATGAGTAAGAATTACTTCTTAAATATGTCTGCAAAGGAGGCGTTTAAATCTTATATTCGTGCTTATGATTCCCACCATTTAAAAACTATCTTTGATGTCACAACTTTAGATTTAAGTAAAGTTGGATTGTCATTCGGTTTTACGGTACCCCCAGCTGTGGATATAAGTAAGTAAGACATTTTCATTTTTTTTTTATAACATTTTTCTTTTATAGACGTTTCATATAAGAAGCATGATCGTCCATCAAAGCGAACAGGAGGAGGTGGTTTTGGATATTATAAAAATATGAATAGTTTTGGTAGTGATAGTAAAACTAAAGTTTACAGACAGCCTGTAAAGAAGGGCGGTAGAAGCAGTGGTGGTCCTGACCGACGCCAATTCTCTCGATGATTCTGACATACTGTATTGTTGTGTTTATTTATTGTGGCTGAATAAATTTATCGATAATTACTTCCAAGGCTACTTTACATTGACATGTTTTGTTGTTTTAATTTTACAAATACATTTTGTATCTAAGTCATATTTTTATTTTTTCTAAATCTGAGCACCTTGGTTCAGTTGGTGTGTCATTCTGTTTTGAGAACTATAACTAATATTAACTTTTAAAAAATGAGCAAAATATAAAAAAAACTAGTTCGAATTCCTTGGTCGGCATGTTTATTAATAATATTGTCTTTATTTAACAAAAAAATGAACAAGAAAGAAAAGTGCAAGGTTAAATTCAGATTGACAGTAAAATAATGCCATCTGTTCTTGCACTTAACTTTGCTATTTTAAATTTTCGATCTACAAAAAAATTACTTTATGAAAATAATTATACAGTATGAGAGAAGATAAAAAAAAGAGATTAATATAAATCGCATCAAATTAGGTGTACTAAATCTTACAGTTATATACAGGGTGTTTTTTTGGGAGCTTTAGTTAAACGTTTCTGGGAAAGTAATATACCTAGGTAGCTTTTTGAAAATTTGTACTTAGGAGTTACTCTGAAGGTCGAATCGATGTAAAATATTTTCAAAATGACCGCACTTCCGGAAACACCGGAAGTAGATAGTTATTTCATTATTAAGGATCCTCAGATCCTTTATAGTTTTGTATTGTCCGTCCGTGTGCGCTCTAACTCTTTTTAAAAGTGGCCGATTGTGTTGAAATTTGGTGTACGGGTACGTTGGATATTAAGGACGGACGCTATTGATTTTCAGGAAGCTGGTTCAACAGGAACAAAAGTTATAGGACTTCGAGTGAATCGGGAACAGGAAAAACGGCGAACTCAATATAATAAAAATCAACATATTTCATTCCCTAGGTCATGTATCGAGTTCGGACTCTCGCTAGATTATTCTCTATGACTCTTAGAAGTGTAACAATTCAATATAACTCTTCTCTGTGGTCTAGGTCAAACGTTTTAGAGCAAAATGTACCCAAAATTATTCTTTACACATGAATTTAGAGTTGTAAAAGCTTTCAAAGGCATGTAATTCAAAAATGTTAAATTATTTTTCTGAGGCCACATGGATTTTGATCAAAATATGCCAAAATCGTTATTTATGCACCAAAAGACCAAGAGCATTATTTCAACGACCAAAACATGAATTTGATCTATTTTTGGCGCCCGCATGGATTTTGATCAAAACATGTCAAAATCGTTATTTATGCACCAAGATCGTTGGGAAAAAGACTAGGCGCATTATCTCAATGCCCAAGACATGAATTTGATGCATTTTTGGCGACCACGTGGATTTTGATCAAAACATGTCAAAATCGTTATTTATGCACCAAGATCGTTGGGAAAAAACCAAGAGCATTATCTCAATGTCCAAGACATGAATTTGATGCATTTTTGTTAAACTATAAAATGTATTTTGTAAGATTAAAATAAATTGTCGTTAAAAGTGATTGTAATACTGAGGATCCTTCGGTATTTCGTTGTATCGGTTTATTTTAAATGGAAACCCTTATTTTTATTGCATTTTTGGATTCTACGTGAAATTTCAGTTCTTTTGATACCCATATGTCGATATCTGCCATTTATGGTTTTTAATTTATTTTGACTTTAAGAAAAAAAATTGCGGATGCAGATGGTACCTTGATAATTGATTGCTTGAAAACGGTTGGTCATTGCAACCCATTTTTATCAGTGCATAGAGAATGAATAGGGATTTCTTTTAGTTTACTTAAAAACAAGTTAAGTAGCGTACAACCGCTCGAATGGAGATGCAAATTTAAGAAACTGCAAAGTCTAAAAACTCGGTTTCGTTTCGTATTTTTTCCATATCGCCAATCTTTCAGTTGTGAGGTGTGTTGCCTAACCATATGTATGTTACCAAACTGATTGACTGTTTTCTGTTTCTTGTATCGACATTCGACACAGCATACCATGGACACAGCAATAACGTACTATAGGTACCTATCGTTTGAAACTCTTAATCCAAACACCCATGGTTCCTTTTGTTTACAGTTACACAGATCTATATCAGAGTGATTACTCCCAAACCTGCAACAGTCCTTCGCCTCTGTTATATTTTCGATGGCAAAACGAGCCTCATCGATTTGGACGGGATCTTCTTCACTTCCACGATATTGCATGGAAATTGTGATTTCATGTGCTTTGTCTATGTTTCATGGTTTCATGATGTCCCTTGGCCATAAGATCTCCCAACCTATCGGTATGTGACCGTGGTGGGCGTACCACACAAGCCATATTTACAACCATAAACTGCGAAATTGGGATTGAAAAATGCAATGGCAATCACTTAAGCTAAGCACTAATTTTATAATTAATTGAGCATTATATTTATAACACAGCAAAAGAGCTTTCTCCAGAAATTTTTATTTCAAACATGGGACTGGAAATTATATGAGAAAGAAAAAGTTCGTAAATTCATTAAATTTAAATTGTCATACATTTAATTGTTAATAAAAAAATCAGATTTGTGAAAAAATGAAAACTTCATCTAAATTGTATGATGTGTTGTCTACCATGAGTGAGGCAACTGCAATATAATAATTGTAGGATGAAAATCTGTGTTGGCGCTCATTGGTCTACTTTCTCTTCTATGTTTGCACTACATCATCTACGATTGAAAGGACAGAGGTATGAACAAAGTATTGTAGCGATTTGTGTACTCCGCCAGTGACTGTAATGATTATTCAGTCCTTCAGTCCTTCTGCAAAAGGTCAAGAAGCCAATAGGTATTAGCATTGAATAAGCACCTTATGCTTATTCAATGGTATTAGTCAACAAATTGGACATTCGGAAATAAAATAGGTACACTTCTTTAAAATTTATGTGCGATCTGATACCTATGTATATGTGTGGTCCTTCTCCTTAACGATCTTTTAACCAAAATTTATTGAACCAAGAATCAATATTCTACACCCAAATGCTTCCTTATCTTGTTTATCTCATTCTGAACTATGCTTTCTAGCTTGTCTTTCATTTGTTTTAAAACCATCATAGTTTATTCTCTTAGTACGGTAGCTAGAACCGTCATCCATAATATAGAAACACTTTTATGGTAATACCATGGAATAATATTCAGAATCTTGATCAATGGTAATAGCGTAATACCTACCTTTCCATCTCTTCACGAAAGTTTACGTTCCTGTAACACATATTAGATTGTAGGCATAGTTGTAAGGACTTAACTTTTGTAGTTTTAGGCATTGCACATAGTTCCCCGTGTAGGGGCGGGTAGTAGAATACCCCTACCGCAGTGATACTGCGTGTCGTAAGAGGCGACTAATTAACGGAATGGGCGAGCATCACATCTTCGGGCAGATAGGGGGTGTTGAGGACGAAGGTGGTTATAACTGCAATGTTTTACAGAGATAAATATTAATATAAATTAAATTAATATATTAAACTTTATTTTTTTACTAACTCAATTATGTACCTATATTACTAGCCCTAAGATATTTTCGACAGTGATTCCTATTTTAGAAATGACACTGAAAATTGAATCAGAAAAACGGAATATAATTATTTATAAATCAAATGAAAATCTGCGAAACTAATTGGAAACAGTGGCGTATTTACGGGGGGGATGAAGGGGATATCCCCCCCCCCCCCCCCAGAAGAATTGAGTTATCATCATAGGTATTAGGTATTTAGGTAATACTCCGCTATCCGCTCCGCCCACTTTAAAATAAAGGCAATAATATATAGGTATATATAGAGAGAAATTTTGGTTTTGGTTAAAGTGGTTAAAGTCACTAAAATCTAAATATTCTGTAGTATTCAGTATTCACTATTCAGTGAGTGATCAGTGTTGGCAGTCAACGATTTGGCTATTCGGCATCGATCGGCAATTCGCTACATTGATGCCCAAAATAACAAATAGGTATCAGGTACTTTAGTACTGCTACCTGCGTCCTGCCTTTCACGAAATGACGAAAATAAGAATTTTAAATTTTAAAAACAGGAATTTTTTTGGGATCAAAGAAACTTTTTTAAACACGTTTTTATTGGTTCTATTGCGGCTATCGATTTCAACCTCGTAAGGTCATCTTCAGGCCGAGCGTCAATACTGTGAGATGAGGAGGCATGTACTATTATTAGCGGAGTAGTATGTGTTAGTTATCAGGAAAGATGTTTACTAAAAGTGAGGTTGTACTCACTTTTAGTAAACATCTTTCCTGATAACTAACACATACTAGGTACTCCGCTAATAATAGTACATGCCTCCTCATCTCACAGTATTTGACGCTCGGCCTGAAGATGACCTTACGAGGTTGAAATCGATAGCCGCAATAGAACCAATAAAAACGTGTTTAAAAAAGTTTCTTTGATCCCATTCTACATCGCACAACACGTTTAAAAACAATGGAACAATACATCAACCGAAGGAATTTTTTTGCCCATAACCAAAGAGTTATTCTTTGCCATAACTTTTGATTGAGACGTCTAATCGAAAAAGTACGAATCGTTTTGGAGTCTACGCACCCAAATTAATAAGAAAAAGTTTTTTCCCGAGAAATTGTGGTGTAGTCGATTTTTGGTAAAAAAGGAAAGTGCCTTTTTTTTGCCCAGAAAAAAAAATTGTCTCAGATCGACCGGAAAAAAATATTTTCTTATAGAATGTGGCCTGTAGAATCCATAATTCCAAACAGTTCCAAGATCGGACTACTAGATCAAAAGTTATAGCCCTTTGAATTTTTTGTCGAAATTGGTTTTTTGCCCATAAATATATACCTATTATTCAAAGTTTTCGTTGACTAATTAAACCAAAAGCAATAAAGGGGCCTGTCAGCAGTATATGAGTAGGTACCTATTATCATTGAATTTTATTATTGTTTATACCGAAAGTTGACTCAGACTTTGTGATGTCCTAGCTTTGATTCACCTTTTTTTTAAATTTACGGAAAATGTGGACTATATTTGATGTAAGGGACCGTAAGGCTAAATGGAGTGCTTCTTGAATTATTGAGTTTCATCGAAATTTGTCGAACTGCAGATACTTGCTCTTTCAAGATATAAATTACTTCTTATAAAGCAAAAAATTGGGGCGAAAAATAAAATGCCTAACTCTCAAAATTTGTGCTATTCGTTTTCGATTAGGTATACCATTTCGAATAGGTATCTAAACATGTTGCTGTCAATCCTACGGTTGCGCATCCCTAAGATATCACGAAAGAAATTTGATCCTAGCTTTTGGTTGGACAACATAAAAGATTCAAATTTCACGAAAAAATTACTCTATTTGCCATTCGATTTTTCAAAAAAAGGTTTGCGTTTTGTCAGAATCTCCACTTCATTTAAAACTAGCCGAGCATACTTCTGTCGAATGACGGCCGGCAGTTTAGCGACAGCCGTCCATATATAGTGCTTCACTTTCTGTATTTTTGTGAATATTTTCCACGGTGACAAACCTTCCGGTTCGAGAAGTTAACGTTTACTTTTGCGATTTTTCGCAGTCGGGGAAAAATTACGTTTTGGGAAAGAATAACAAATAATAATTATGAAATTTTTGGTTGGTTTTGGTTTGTATTTCCATATCCAAAACAGCCGAGGAAGAAACATAAATTTTTTAATTTGAAGATTGATTTTTATCGCTTCTACCATTCAATACAAACATACCTATACTACAAACTACACTAATATCGATGCTTTCATAAGAAGAACATTTTTATTGTTCTATTCCTCGTCTACTTTTCCAAGAAAATTCGATGGTGTAACGGGAGAAAGCTTTGTAGGTTTAAAAAACATTTTCGATTGAGCATTTTATTTCAATACAGGGAAATTTACATTTGTACCGCTTTATACAGAAAGTGAACTACAGTAAGACTGGCGATAAGCAGCAATAAACAAGAACGCGCTGTGCCGCGATGGCTTTGGTCCTTCATACTGCGTCGGTTCCGTTTTGAACCAACCGTGATGCCGGAATGCAAGGCTTACTATTGGTTAATAGAGCACGCTGATCGAGATTACCGCTAACAAAGATCATGATCTTTGCCGCTACACTTCAACCGCAAAAACGTATCATCAAGTGAAGTCTTTCTTCGTTACAGGTTGTGAGACTGCTTCCCGGTGGTAGTTCATTCCATTATCCTTCCATCCGATTGCCATAAGTTAAGCCTACATCTTTGTTTTAATGCAGTCTCACAAGCCGTAACGAAGAAAGGCTTAACTTATGGTAGCTTGGATGGAAGGGTAGTAACGGACACAGGCTGCTTGTTGAAAAATATCTCTTTATTATTCTAATGTACCCATTTTATAACAATTTGTGTTGTTGTTTTAAACACCCCCTATGATGCGAAGTTTTTATACCAATCTCCCCCATCCAATGAAATTCGCTTCTGAACTGCCAATCACAGTCCACGTCGACTTCCTTTTTTGATAAATCAACAAAACTTTCGCGGTTTTTCCACCTCTCATTAACTATACTCTCCGAATAAATTCTATGGATACCATTGTTGATACAATCGTTGTCAGGGTACCATACTTATTTGCCGAATAAATTTATCGAGGGATGGAAAAACGGACCCTAAATCGCGCAAAATCCATTTAGCCCCAGTTGCACCAACAAAATTAAGCCTTGATTAAAGTTAAGTCGAACTTAAAATCTATGGCAACGATTAATAAGACAATCGTTGCTATGGTATTTAAGTTATGCTTAACTTCAAGGGATACTTAACTTTGACGGTGCAATTGCCCCTTAATTTTACAACGCCTAATTTAAAAATCAGGACCGTAGGTACTCGAAACTACTTGCGAACGTAACAAAAAATGCCCATCTTAAAAAAAAAAGATATGGAATAAGTACCACTGTGTTCAATTTTAAGCAGAGTTATTTTCCATGTCAGATGGACAATTTTCGTACTCTGATTTTGGAGATACCTATTCAATTCGGAAAAGAAAATTATTTTCGAACGAAACGTTCTTAAAGAATTATAAGGATGGCATACGTCAAAATTAGACAAACTATCAATAAGACACAACCTCGGGTTTTTATTAATTTTTTTGGTTTTAATTAAATTGCAAATTTCGTAACAGCTATGCGTTTTCCTTACGTCATAAGTGAAAATACAAGAGAGGCGTATACGCCTTCATTAACAGCTCTTCAGTTAACTCTTGAACAACGAAGAAAAACGTTTCCAGAAAGATTAGAATGGGGTGACAAACACTGTTATTCTTTAACCAGATTATGCATTGAAGCAATATCAAAAAATTTCGCCAATCAGCCGGTTCTTAAAGAAGTATATGGTGCCGATCAAGATCTTCTCTTAGAAATTTTACCTACGAACTTACCTCTGGAAATTGTTGTCCCTTTAATTGATGCAAGTGTACTATGACTGTGCATAATTATTAAAGTAGGTAGTTTTAGGAAGAAATATACTGGAAAAGACGTTACAACGACGAATTTGGTATGGTATCTCAGCGCTTGTACCCAAATTGGACGTGGAAACAGGTATTTATCGAGAGGAACATTCAAAAACTTGTACAGCAAGCGGAGCCTCAATACAACGACGAGAACGATATGGAGGCAGTGTTAAAATTGTGTTGTCCGTATGTCAAAAGAATTCTAATTACGCAACTGCAAATGTGGAGACCTCCATTACACTGGGAAAAGAGCGAATATCCAGAGAATTTTCCGTTGCATCACATAAATTTTGAACCAATACTGAAACAGCTAACGGAAATTCAAGAATTCGATTTAGTATTCGGAATGAATTCGGTTGGGGATAAATTTTGCTGGGAAATGTTTAAGTTTACACCGTTAGATTGTAGTCGACTCGGTGCCGCTTTGTTAAATTTGCAAAACCTTCAAATATTAAGAGTGCATCGTAGCAATTTGGAGTACAAACAGTGTCAAGCTTTGATACAAGGATTGATGAAGAATCGGACACTAGCGGAGTTAGATTTGTCGTATTGCGAAATTCAAAACGAAGGCGCACTTTGTGTAGCGAAATTAATGATTGTGCATCCAGTTTTGGAAGTTGTAAAGCTCATGTATAACAAAATCAAACAGAAAGGTGCGGAGGGAATTGGATACGCTCTTTTACACGAAAATTGCTGCCCGTTACGGGTTTTGGATTTAAGAAGCAACCCATTGCGACACGGTGGAATTATGGGTATTTTACGGGCGTTAGTTAGAGTAGACAAACCGAGGGAGTTGAGTTTGGGCGGGTGCATCGCGGAAGATGAAACCCCCGTGCGCATTGCTCAAATGATCAATCTAAATGCGAGTTTGGAAATTTTGGATATAAGTGCTAATTGGTTCGGAGAGGAAGGAGGAGAGGTCTGTACATTCTACTTTAGGGTACTTACACTACATAACCATGTAACTTTTGGGTAGTAGCTCTTGGTATACTATTTAACAAATAATAAAACAATACAATGGTTGGATGTGCGTGAAACTGATATCACTATAGAGCAGTCGAAAGTAATTAACAAAATTTTGCGAAGAAATCGAGCAGGGGTGGATTGTTTGAGCGAAGATGAAGAAGTGGAAGAAGAGGTAGTTGCGACCGAGGAAATTGCTACTGAAGAAGTAACTGAAGAGGAAGAGGAGGGTGGAGCATGACATTTACCTACAGAATTCTGAAGTGTCGCTATATACATAATAAAGATATAGAATGGGGTCTAAACTTTCTAATTATGATCCAGGTTTACACAATTTCAGCAACCTTTACACAGTCTTAGATCACAAATAATTATAGTAATACTTAATTGAATAATCAATAAATCTTTATGCACGTCACCGTTCCAAGTTGTGATACCAAGAGTGCATGTTTTTGGTAGATTGATCTGAAATGTTGGTATAAAGATACCATATACTAAGTGCTCTTTCTTCTATGACAACATATTTTCATCTGCGCGTCCCTCTATCATTTACAGGAACAGTTATCTTCGTTTACTTGATTATCAACTTGTCTACAGACACTTTTAACGAAAATGTGCTCTTGGTCTCAGTTTTCCGCTCGTTTCTTAATCTGTTCACCTCTACAGCTACATTTGACTATTAAAATTAATTGTTGGAATAGGAATAGATCCTACGAATCTCAAGGAAACAGAATACGGTTTGTGCGTGAATCCCTCATGATTATGGAAATTAAGTGCAGTTTCTACTCACAGTTTTTATCTTTTTTTCTTTTTGTAGGTTAGATACAGGGTCAATTTCCGGTCTATGGAAATTGTAAGTACTTTTTCTCCTCCCAACCAAAGATACAAGCAAAAATATAACACATGACCTAAGGCCGACGTGACCAATGGTCTAATTACAGATAAGTTGAAAATTTGCCTGTGCTTTATTTTTTGATCCTTGTAATACCATGCACACCTATTGTCAATCCGAAAAGCCCAACCCATCTATATCAGCTCCAAAAGGTATTTCTTTTGTATCGGACTTTCGAAACAAAGTATGTTATGAAAATGCCAAGATAAAAAAATTAAAGAACACAAAATTTTGTATAAGGGAACCGTCTCTCGATGGTCAACTATTTTTAGGAGCAATCTGAAATCAGAATAAAAAGAAAAGCGTAAAATGGACAAAAATGGACATTTAATATTCTTGCGCAGTACATGAAAAACTATAGGTATCTACTATTTGCTAAACTTGACTGATTCAAAAATTTGTTGTTTATCGTCTCTATTCTTTTGTTTAGCAAGTAAGAAAACTGAAAAATATCCGTTTTTCTGTTTGCCTCTAATCACTATCAATTTTTTTTAACTTTTAACTTTAAACAAGTCAGATTAACTGTGAGTCATCACTCAATATTCCGTAAAACTAGTGTAATTAGTCCACGGTAAAACAAAACCCTTTTACTGCTAGAGAAACCACTAGGGGTTGTCAGAAAATAGTTTTTCATTAAGTGAAGAGATAATGGGCGATCAAAAAAGGATTGAAGTCGAGCTGCCGTTGGAAGTTCATTAAATATGATTTCCTATATAAACAAAAATCCCAAAGGTGACACGCCAGCAACTCCTTTTTAATCGCATGGTACTTGAATTTGAAGTATTTTGCCAATCTTTGAACCTTACTGAAATGCTTACTATAATAATTCGAGAGGGACGGAACATGTAGGTAATTGCTCTATTTAGATTCGCTGGTCAGAAAAACCACATTCAGTACATAGACACATAGAGAATAGAATGGAATCAGAAATCTTTGAATCTGCCCTCTACTCTCCGACAAAAAGAATGCAAAAAGTTGTAATTTTCGTAGGCCTAACTAAATACCTACTTTCATTTGTATTGTCGTACCTACAAAAACAGGAAACTGTATAAACTACACGTAAAAAGTGCAAAGTTCGATCGTGGCTTGTAATTTACACAACATAGAAGTACTGCATTTGTACGAAAGGTGCCCAAAATTGTGACCGATTGAATTCATGAAACGAAATAAAAGTGACCTATTTGACGATCGCGGTTTTTCTGTAAATGATGACCTTCCTATTTCGATAATATTTAGTAGGTACTTCCTTATATACATTTCCTACTTCCAGTAATTCGCCTTCATAGGTCAACGTAAAAGGTTTATTTTGTAGTCAATTTTTTTAGAGTTATTCACTTTCAGCCTCTTTCGGGTCCTTTAGGAGAATTCTGACTGTAAAACCATAGTATAATACAAATAGTAAGCCAACCGGTTCGCGCCAATTCTTGATGATTGTAAAAAGATGTACCGGTACATGCTGCCACCTAGTTGAGAGTAGCTCAATACGCCCATCTTAGAAACTACATTCATTATTGTCACGAAACGATCGGCATCAGTTATCGAAGCGGGAAAATACAAAACATGATTGGTAATTGAGTTTAAATATTCTTCCCATATCGTATTCCTATTTCATATCGTCATAATTAAGCACTATACTTGCAAGCAGAGCTGGAATGATTACTCCAAAAAGTATTCGAATACTGATTACAAATTACTTTATCATAAAAGTATTTACGTAGGTATTTGATTAGGTACCTACTTTACAAAATTTGTATTTAATTACTGATTACAATTTGTAATCGATTTACTTTAGCATCGTAATTACATTAACTACATTTTTAAACTTGCATCTTGCATGCGCACGTATCCATACTTTATTTATCGTTATCGAGTTCGTTGATTCTTTGTTATTACTTATTAACGATCCTCGTGACCGTTCATAATTTTGTATTGCTGTCTGTCTGTCCGTTTGTCGCCCGTATGCACGATAACTTTGTGTAGAAACGTCCGATCATTTTGAAAATGGGTACACATATCCTTAAGGATATAAGAAATGTCGCCATTGTTTTTCAGCTGAGTAAACTAACGCACCAAAAAGTTACAGCCCAAAAACTGCCCACACCTGAAAAGTATAATTTTTGTTGTTTGTACATTGAATGTCCGGTTTTCTGTGTTAGCAAATATTCCTTAAACCTCAAGAAACTACGCAGATACATAAAAAATTTGCCCCAACTTTTGTATCTGCGCAATCCAATTTTTTTGTTTGTTAAGATGGGAAAATGAAATTTTGTATGTAGGCACCTCGAATAGAAATAAAACTAATGCCGAATCAAGAAAATTGTTTTACAAGCTATGCTGATCTGGTGGGATCACCGAGTCAACCCCTTAAGATGTACTATGAAAACGATGGATGGAATCTCGAAGATCGTTCGGTATTCTGTTCTCTTGTATCAGATTTTTAGAAAGATATTTCAATAAATCCAGATATTCCATAAGCAAAAATATTAAAGAGAGTATAACCCGTGCACTTGGAAACCTCTATACTTTGAAGGTGTGCTAGACGACCTTCATAACTTTCCTCCGCATGAATTATTTTTCCCAGATGCTGTTTGCAGAGCCGTCTTTAAGCAATTGGGGGCCCTGGGCGCAAAAATGTATGGGGCGCCCCTTTGTTTGGAAGATACGGAATTCAGAAAAACGATCTCGTTAAAATCAATAAATATGGATATCGACAAAAAAGTATAACATTCCTCTCGCTCTTTGTATAATCCGATTATATTTTTAGCGCATTTTCCAAGGAAGGTGGGTGCGCTATTGCCAGCCACTTTCTCTGTCCGTCCGTCTGTCCGTCCTAGGTCTCTATTCCCACAGTTTTCAAGATATTTATTTCGTTCTTTTTGCATTCGGTAGCTTATAGCTTTGTCACCTCAACCAAGAAAAATCTTGACGAGTAATGTGCGCATACGCTGACTGTGCAATATCAACTTTCTTATTTATTAATATATTTTGTTGAAATTTTAACCACAGACACTTCTAGCAAATGCAAACATATCGCATATAGTAAAAATCAGATGTGCTAATGCGCGAACTGAGCAATGAACTTATTACTTAACTTATTCATGGAGATATTTCTTTGAAATTTTAACCAAATATGTTTTTAGTGAAAGCAAACGTATCGCATATTGTAAACATCAGATTAATGTGCGCATGTGTAATATCAACTGTCTTATTTGTCAAAATATTTTTTTGAAATTTTTATCACAGGTGCTTCTGTTTAAAGCAAACATATCTCATATTGTAAACATTAGATGTGCGCATGCGCCGTTTATACGCACTCTGCGCAGTGTCAACTTTCTTATTGATGAAGATATGTCTTTGAAATATTAACCACAAATACCTCTAGTAAAGACAAACATAGCGCACATGGCTATGGCTTTTGGAAAGTACTGATCAATGCCTGGAAAATGCGTTGAAGTTAATCGCCCTACTTTTTTATTTGTTATATTAATGGACAGTAACTTAAGCACACTTGCGTCTATGTAATGTCTCACAAAATGAAACATCGTTTATGGGGCTGTACGGTGTACCTTGGAATAAATTGTAAGAACTAGTTTGTTGTTTTTAAAGGAAGTTAATTACACTTTGAATTTACAAATATGGACAAAGAAAACCTACTATTACTAATTTATTTTAGTTACATTTGCAATTTGTAATTAAGGATATATCTAAGTAGGGTTGCCACATGGCCGGGATTTTCCGGGATTGTCCCGAAATTAGCTGCACTATCCCGGATCCCGGTTTTTCATACCTATATAAATCCCGGAAAAAATATGGCAACGTCTTGAATAAAAATTCAAAATTTGGTTGGGGGAAGGAGGGGCTGGTCCTTCATGGTACATGGCAGAAGTCTACTGCTGAGGTCAAAACGTTAAGAACGAATATTTGGCAAATAATTTAAAATTTATTGACCATAGCTGTTAGTTTCGTGAAGTAATTAGTTCTCAAAGAGACATGCAATTTTCACGGCTGCGTTTTAGGAGAAAAAATAGTTCGTTAGTGCCCGTTTGAGCACAATTAAGTTGTTAGACCAAAACCACGAGGACCGAAATGAGCGCCGGGACCGAATCGGTCTGACCCGAAACAGCTTCATGTCCATTTGGTTGATTGGGTTTAAAAAAAATTGTCATTGGTAGGTATTCCTTTTTCAGCAACACTCATCTTAGGAATTAACCGCACATCTCTATAATCATAATATGTATGTATTATACTGTGGTATAATTATTCGTCATAGATCATAGATAAAACCACCTTTTATTTATGATTACCCGTTGAATGTATTAATCGCAACCCAATATAATTTTATGATGAAGAAAAGGAAATAAACTAAATCAATATAGACCAGCGACAAGGTCGCTTCCGAT